ATAAATATTAGGACGTCAATTAGTATTATTGATAATTATATAATGAGAAATTGGGACGAGTTAGAACCGCTTTCCCGCGGTCTTTTGCAAGTCGTACTCAAGTTGATAATAACCTCACAGTGAATACCCAAGCAGGCACACCAGGGTGGGAGATTAGGCTGATGGTTCTGAAAAGAACCTTTCTTGTTGGCTACGATGGTAGATCGACCGTGAGCGTATAAAAACCGCGTTTAAATCCGCTGGTGGTTGTACAATGAGCTTTTCAACTACCGCCCCTTATAACGAGTGTTTTCGCCGATGAACTCCTGGCATGTCTTAATTCCTTCTGTAGTTCGATATGTGTGTAGGTTTGAACTGTTTGAAGGATTATTGAAGACTGTTCGCTGATTGGTGGTCCTGAAAAGGACCGTTTTATGTGGTGGCGGCTGCTCCGTTACACGTATTCGGGCCATTGCCTACCCGCGTTAGTTGTTTTTTTTAAATTTAATAGGACGTATTAACACTATTTTAAATAACGATTAACGCAAAAGTTGAATAACATTTTAATTCTAAATATAACTTTTAAATTGCAAATAACATAAAACGGAATTTGTTTCAAATGCAAACCCTGGTTTATACTCTATTGATATACAACGTTCATTTTCGATTTCATGTTCCAAGTAGCAGGATATTTTGCCGTGTTATCGATCGATAAATATCCCACTTCTGACAAGTAGTTTATTAGTCATTAGTTTGAAGTCTAGACGAGTGGTGTAGTGGACTAACATTGGGGGTGCCCAATACCAGACACTTTCACTTATCAACACTTTCAATACATAGGTATAACACATAACTTACTATAGTCCAAAATTCCATTTTTGGTATATTTAAGTACTCCTTAAAAATATTCTGCTTTGAAATCAATAATTAAAAATGCATATTGTAATATTAAAAAAAGTAAAAATAAAATAAAGAATAGTAAAAGTTAAAAAAAAAATGTTATTACGTACATTTCCCATATTGTAGTGATATCTAAAATATAAAAGTTTGTCTTTTGTAGTGCTGTAAGTTCCGAGCCATGTAATTAACAAAACTAACTGCTGATTGTAATACCTGCATGAAATCATTCCTACAGTAAAATATAATATTTAATTATTATTAAACGTTTTGGTGAGAAAATATTTTTAACGACGGCCATCACCCCTATATAGCTTCCGGGTTTTGCCAAAATAGTAACGATAACAAACAATATATTATATCCCACGTGACAATAACAGAGATTCATTTAAATGTAAAATATACTCAATTTCTCAAAAATGATAATATGTGTGTTTTTGGGAGTATATTTTTACATAATTTTTAAAGGACTTTCATATCAATAAATATTTTTATCCTGACCCAAAAAAAAAAAAAATGATTTAGCAAAGTGATAACTGATAAGTATGCTTAAAATTATTTGTAATAAGCCATAAATATACTTGATTTTAAATATTTCTCTGCATTACACATTTAGTCAAATCTGATTATAATTGATAGGTATAGCCGTATAGGTATATTATTACATTGTGTTTTTTGTATTGTTAACAATTATTCATCAGCTGGAATACAGGAAATCTTATGGAAATATCAATAGTTTTTGAATACAAATTATATTGTTGCTGTGTGTCATGAACGATAATGCGTGCTTTGTATTTTTGTTCACATTCGTTGCTTACACGCTGTCTAAAACAGCATTATAAGTCTATAATATTGACATAAACTCATCAGAAAACTTAGATTGCCTGAGAGCGTAGAAGACGTGGAAAATACGTTTCTGAGTGCAAGAACAATATTAACAGGAGGAATCGTAAATGGTTTGAAAATGTAAATTCTAAAAATCATGACCTAACTTAAACTATTGTCGCGAATTAAGACGATTAGTAGGAACATTCGTGCTGGTCTTTACACCAAAGATGTTCTCGATTTACAACTTTTCACTAAAAACAGGTAGTATACAATATTATGTTCTTAAATTACATTGATTGAAGTAGAAAATAATATAAAATAAATCAGTGTACGGCCAAATAGGCGATAATTTCTAATTACTAAATATTTATAAATAACTGACTTATAAACAACAATATAATTTTTAGTGTTGGGCAACGATATAGTTTTCTGTATCGATATCGTTCAGATTTTTCCGATATTGTATCGCGATATCGTTATTTCTACGATATCGATATCGTATCACAAATATAATTTTATGTTTACCTAAACAATTAAAAAAAACTTTTCGTATTTATTAATATTTATTATTTATTATTATACATACTTATAAGTTATTACTTATTACTTAGTTATTTTTACTTATAATAAATTTGTTATACATTTTGTTACAATTGTTTTACATTTTTATATTTTATGTCAACCCTTTTTGACTTCTCCTTAAATGTGTTCAACTTTTGAAAGCTGTAACATAGAAAATAAATTCATAATTATTTTTAATATTGTCTTGAATTCAAATTTGAAAAATTAAAATGTATGTTCTTACCAAACTGTGGTTTGACGTCCTAGTGGATTTATAATAACAGTTCAAAAAGAGAAGATTGTTAACTCGATCTGGAGATAGTCTACTTCTTTTCTTTGAAGTTATATTGCCAGCCTCACTAAACATAAGTTCATATGGGACACTAGTTGCGACTATCGATAAGTATTTTTTTGCCAATTTTGAGACTTCTGGATATAAATTTGAATTTTCTTTCCACGTGCATCAAACGTTATCAGCTAATGGCTATTATTATTTATTAATTTATTATAGCTATATACAAATGTCAAATAGTAAATACCATGTATTTTTCCTGAAAAATATTATTTTCGATATCACGATATATGATACAATACAAAACGATATCGATGTCAGAAATTTGTCACGATATCGATATCGTATCGAATTATCGATATCGTTGCCCGTCACTAATAATTTTATGATTATAATTTTATCAACTACAAACAAAGTAATTACAATTAAAAATTATTATTGGTAGTAATCACATTTAACCCAACCTAACGTTTTTAGTTCGAATCCATGTACCCAGTGGCTTGGACATGATAAGAGCCCACACATAATTTGGGAATTCCCAAATTATGTAAATCATTTAAATGATTATATTTTGTGAGTGACTTAAAGTGGTTGAATAATGAATAATTGACTAGGTAATAATGTTTTATAAATATTTTCTTCCTATGATAAAAAAATATTGTATTATATGATTGCATAAAAATGTTGACTCAATATTTGTATAAAGTTTCGGTAAATTTTTTTTTTGAAAATATATGATTAAAATATTTTGTAAATGTTTTTTATAAAATATTTTCAAATATATGAATTTTTGGGCCAAAGAATATAACTAACATAATTCCTAATTATTTAAGCAACTTTTGAAAATATTTTGACAACTATATTATTTTTCTGAAAATATTTTTACCATAGTTAGGAAATATTTTTATGCTGTATTTGAAGGGATCCACGACATACCTAAATGGGAGGGGAAAATTGGAAAATCCCACACCCTGTCAAATATGTTTACACAGCTAATACAATATTTAACAATAAGGAACAATGAATATAATTTGAATTTATTCAAAATTCACATGAAACACAATATGAAAGATTATCCACTGTAAAGCCAATGGGGAGGAGTCTGACCACCACGTTACCCCCTCCGCCTCTGCATGTACCTACATATTTGTATGTAATAAGTAGGTTCATTATAGTTTTTTAATATATGTATATGAATATCCAAACTGTTTACTATAATTTACAATTATATTTTAACCTTTAAATGACTAATGAGTAGAATAACCAACATTTTTCTGGTTCCAACCATCAACTCATCAAAACTTTAAATAGATACTTACCTATAACTAATTAGTAATTACCTTTTTAGTTACTCCTTCGAAATTTGATTTTTTTTTTCAATTCTGTTGAAATTCTCAGAAAACTATCTCGCTTCTGGATTCGATGTCAAAATATATTCCACGTATTTAAAAATAGTGGAAGAATATCTTTGAAAAAAAAAATTTTTTTGTCATTATAATATTGGTACTTATTTCAAAATATTTAAATGTTATGATTGTTACTTTTTCGAGACAATAAGTGATTAACTTTTAATTTTTAAATAATCATTTCTTATAGAAGGCGTCCATGATAGCAAACAGAAGCCAAGAAGGACGATAGCTTTATTATAGTACCTAATGAAATGGTGGAACTCGATTTTCCTTATTAAAAAAAAAAAAAAAAAAGAATAATTCTTAGAATGTTAAAAAGATATTATTCAATATATCGTGAATGTTGGTCTGTTATTAATGGACCCAGAAACTACTGGTACGGCTTCGATAAAAGTAATATCAATAGATTCTTTAAAACTTGGACCGTATTTTTTCTATCCCTATAGGTAGGTAGTCCAGGGTATAAAAGCCTCACGCAGAGGGTATCCACTTGCACAGTATTTTCAGAAATATATTTTAAAAAAACACGAATCTTTGGCACGGGAAATGCTATTGGTTACATATTATAATACAATTTTATTTGGTTTTTGATTTAAATGATTGACATTAGTTAAATACATATTATTACCTTGTTATAATTAATAGAAATATGGCATATATATTATACATAAAAAAAAAAAAAAATTGTCACAGAAAATTCCTTTTGTGACAACTATAGTATTATACAATTATACTAGTTGTATAACCCTTATTTGTTCTTGAAAAAATGAACAAAAATAAATTAATAAGGTTCTATATCGGTGTAGGTATCTCAGTTTGTGGACAATTCGGCATCGGCGTGTAGCTCGCTTTGTGAACTAATTCGACCGGGGTTCGTTATAGCATTTGGTATATTTTTGGACTTTGTTCAAACTTCTTTCTAAACTTTTCTGGTATCTTCAGGAACGATCTCCAAAACTTTGGTAAAAATAGATCGAGTAGATTTTAAGTCTATAAACTACAGACTTTTGTCTTTTGTTGATCGCATAAGGACAATGAACGCGGGAATAATAGGTAATGAAATGGCCGACGAACAAGCCTCAATAGCCATCAACAATAACGAAAACTTTTTAATAAGCCAAATGTCATACGATGACTCGAAAAAATGCATAAATTACTATACAAAAAATAAGCGACAAAGAATTTGGAACGTTCAAAACACTAAAGTGAATGAGATCTGCACAAGAGATATCTACTGTTGGTCAAACCCGAAGCTCAACCGAAAAGAAGTTACTGTTCTGAACAGACTTCGCATTAACTACGTTAACCATCAAACACGTCTTAATAGCTGATTATAATTATTAATTTTATGAAACAAACAAAATTTTTCAATCTTATATATGAAAAAAAAAAAAAAAACATAACCTAATTATATAACTCTACTTTGTATTTAATCAAATCAATTCATAACATTCTTAACAATTTATTTTATTTTATTTAAAAAAAAATCTCATTACAACGTATGATAGACTAGTCTATACCTTTTTCATTCTTCAATTGTATTTCTATAATCAATTTCAACCGTATTATACACGTTCAACAATCTATAGTTAAAAAATTAATAGATTTTCGTGATCAAAATCTAAATCCATTATAGTGAACAACAGCGTATATCAACCTGAAGGGAACTACTTGTCTAACACATGATTTTTTATATAATAAAAAGGAGGTTATCCTATCTTTTATCTAAATACATTTTTTATTCAACCCTCTGTTATCTTATCTAGATAGTTTTAAAGTTATCTGTGCACAACATTGGCCCATGAACAGATGGTTTTTGGATTATTCGCTGCAGTTGGTGGATAAGTTGTCAGTGGGTCGGATGTAGCCCGTAGTCTTGATGCTGAATAATACATATTACTATATACAATATTATGTTACTGGCAAAGACGTAAATAACTAGTCAATAACGATATTTCTGATCAAATTAGACAGTGCTTATACGATGTTGACTAGGAAATAAAGCCAATGCCCATTATTTTCAGGCAATGGTGCATTTAGAAATAATGTATTTGTACATTTTAATAATTAGAAACGGCCTAGTGTTGTAAAGTCGATTTATCAATAATCGGAACTAACGAGCAACAATAACATACTTTTTACTACTACATTTTAAGTGAAAAATGGCCGTCTATAGGCTACGTATACACCTATACAGTAGTATCTATGCATCTATACAGTAGGTAGATTTACATTATATAAATCTCGATTACTTATTTCTTATAATAATTGATTAATAGTTATATATTAATTAAATTATAATATTTGTACACCCACGTGTCTACTTGAGCACATCGCATGACATGTATCTAGTATCCACCTGCAAAGTGTCAGGGTACCTATATAAAATTGTGAAAATAAATGATTCAAATTATTTATTTTAACTGTGTAATATTGAGTCTAAATTTATCTTATGCGCATTATTAAATTTCTGACCCAATTTAAATATTTCTCTAAACGAAATTATCAACATTGTCTGTCAGTATTAGAAATTTAAGTAATTTCCTTGTCATGGTTGTAAATGTGTTGACAAAATGTTTGAATTTTACAAACTTGCCTATGTTGACAGTTAATGCATAGGCGATATCGTAGTCTAGGTACTAATATTGGGAACACACGCAAATGGCTAGACGTTTACGTTATTACTTAATTTACACCATTGACATCATTTTGCATCATACCTGTACGATACAGTCGAGGCTGGACAACTCGAATCTCGAGAGGGAGGGAATAGAAATAAATCTGACTCGTAAAAGTTTCGAGTTATAATATTATAATATTATATTATGCTAGGTAATTCTTGCAAAACTCAAAATCGCGTCAAGGGACAAGCGAAAACAATTCGAGTTATCCAGACTCGGCTTTAAGATAATATAATATTTTTTCTAAATATCGTGAAATGACTATGGTTTTTTTTTTTATATTATTATTCTCTCCGTATGTTAAACCTGTGCTGACGTCGTTTTACAGATTTGTTGGCACCTCCTCGGGCCGGGTCGGCGAGGTCGAGCCTCAGCGAAATGTCCGGAGCCAGCGGCACTTCGACGGGAACGTATCTGAACGAAGCGTCGACGCTGGTGTTGGAGACGACGGAAAACAACTTGAAAAAGTGAGTTCGCCCCCAAGCGATGTGTTTGTGTGTGTGTGTGTATTTTCCATTCACTATAAAGTTTAACGGTAATGGTGTTTGCATTTAATTATACTAATATAGACTGCAATTGTAAACAACGATATGATGTTATTAAACCAACAATTACTGAAATCGCCTATTCGACAAAACGGTTTAGGATTTCGTGAAATCAGCAACGACGTGACCGAATACTTGAGAAATTAGCATTCTAAAGCCCGTAATACGGTCAATTTCAGTCAAAGACCTTCTCAAAAAAAAAAAAAAAAAAATGAGAAATTGTCAACTCCTACATACAAATAGTGTTATTTCCTGTATAAGACATTGTTAACTCCTATGGAGAATATTAGCTCCGATTAAGGCTTTTATTAGAACAACTATAGACATTTTGAAAACAAATGAAACTCTAAAATAAATGACCGTAGTCCACTGATAGTTTAAATTAGAATTTTCTATAAGCCATACAATTTTGAAAATGTTTTGATTCATTTTGAGCTATTCACGGACATTTACCGTTTTCATATTTTTAGTTTATTTTTCTCTAATTGTCAATACACTTTTATTTGTTAGGTGAAAAAGCGTGAAAATTGAATACAAAGCTTCTGGTATATTGGTACTTTATCAATTAAAAATATTAAAAATTCATTACCCCAAAGTTTTTTTTTTTTTTATAATCATTTAAAGTTCTAACCTTGACAAGATACCGAAAAATCACGAAAATTAGCAAATTATTTTGAGTTAAAAATGTTTCTTTTTAAATCTTAGGATTTCAAATGTAAAAAAAAAAAAATGTCTACCTGAAAGTCAAGTTAAATTTATACGAACTTTCGAAGTCCAAATTTGTACAACATTGGATACTCACTCGATAACTTATATTTATTGGATTTTATTATGTGTTTATTTCTCATTTTACACCATAAAGTTTTGAAAATATTTTGACTTGTTTTAAGCTGTTTATGGATAATTTAAAATTTAATTTTTTTAGTATTTTTTTCTGTAAATATCAATTACATTTTATTTAAAGGTCCGAAAAGAATGAAAATTTAACACAAGGCTCCTTATGTATAGTTACAAGTCTGAAAAATATTAAAAATAGTACATATTTTTTTTTATAAGCATTTAAAGTTCGAATTTTCACAAAATGTATAAAAATTAAAATGTTAGAATTATTTTTTAGTTAAACAATAATTATAAAATGTTCGACTTTTATTTCTAAGGATCGAAAATTTAAAACAAGATTCCACATAAATATCTAGATTATATATTTATATATAATATATAAATTGCTTTATTCACAATAATATCGTCAAATATACTTAGTAATAGGATACGCTGACTCTCTCGGTCAGAACAGTTTGTCTTATACACTGATCTTATATCGTTGTATTGAAATTTTAAACCACCCATTTGAGTGACCCACTTGTAACCTACTGTACAGCAGAGCAATACCCACTAGCCCACGTTTTTAAAATATGTTTTGAGATTGTGACTTATATAATACTCAATGACTTTATGATATTATGTAGTAACGTTTGTATATATTTTATACATAATAATATGTATACAAAAACTCCTATATTTGATGTAAATGGTTTATTCGGGTTTCATACGCAATAAAAATTCATATTTTTAAAATGTCCTCCAACAAAAAATCGGTTTTTTTTTTTTTAAATTGTTCACATATAAATTGTATAACTATAATATTACTTTGTTCTACAACTGACAGACAAACTTACATTCGTACGCGGCAGTGTAATATTATCGATATAGGTCAAACGGGGTAAAGCAAGTGCGAACAACGAGTGAATTAAAACAACAATAAAAACACAGTAGATATCGTCTTTAACGAGACATCGTTTATAATGACATAATATACACATATTAGTAGTAACGACTTGACTTCGAACTTCTCGGACTGTAATCGACTTACATTAATTGGGTATTTAAATGGTCATTACTTTTACTATAATAGTTACGTACAGAGCAATTTGTAAAAATTTCAATAGTGAAAATTAGTATCGGTAATCATCAAAACAAAAATGTATCGAATTTTTTCTCCACACTTTTTACCTTTTTGAAATTTGTATATACACTTCTATTATATACGTATCTTGATGTGTAATTTAGGAAATATGTCGTGTAATTAAACTTTTTTTATGATTTTCGATTTTCGTCGTCTTCTTTTATAACGACGTTATCTTCTATAATGACCTATTTTAAACGGTCCTTTAATGGTCGTTTTATGCGATGTCTACTGTAGAAGTTGATTCGATAATGTTTGCCTGGCAATAAAAAATCGAAACGTTTTATACTATAATTAGTGCAGACAGAGAACATGATATAGCCCTAAAAAATAACGAAATATGCAAACTTTTATGAGCAAGAAAATCCCAAATGTGCACAAAAATGGTTTTTCCCAGCTATTTTATCGATCAATTATAACAAAAAATATCTAAATTTAGAACGACGTAAAATAAGAGATGGAAAATACCTAAAAACTACCATACAATTACACTAGTTCACTAAAATTCTGAATCGCGACACAGCGTCAGAGGATATAAGATTTCAAGAAACCAAAATAATATTAAAAACTATTAATTGATAAACGTTATTTAAAAGAAACCGTGCAAAAGTATCTCCTCCCACCAAATAAAAAAATTATAAATATGTTTCCAAGGTTAAACCTACATAATATGTTTCGTAAACCAAAATTAAACCCAAATGTGCAACACGAGAGTATAGGTTTTGATTTTTTGTGACATGAAATAATATAATATTTGTTCTTATTCGACCTCTCTTCTAGTCATCTGCCCCAAATTTATAATAAATAAAATGTTGACTAATACCCAGTGGACTTTCCTCAGCGTCCGGTCGTCTGCCCGGATGGTCTAACACCGTGGATATCAGCTAATACTGATTATAATACTGATGTACATCACTAAACCATGTTTTGGTCGATGAGAAAAAAAACTAAAATTTACAAGTTCAACAAATATGTAAAACGAATGAAATATTTTACAACAATAATTTATTCTCAGATGATTTTCAGATTTTTCTATGGCGCATATAATATTTTACGGGTGTCTTTAAGGGGGACACTCAAAATCGCAAAATATTATCAATATTGTTTGGTCCTTAAATCAAAATATTAAAATTCTATCATGT